ACTGAGCAAGGAAGCTCTGAGCTGAAATCTGCGCCCTGCCCTCTCTGAAGTGCAGGGATCTGACATTTGCGGTCAGAGCCTGGGACGAGCCCACCCAGTGGGGGTCACCAGCACTGAAAGAGTGGTGTGCCAAGAGAGGCTTTTTTATTTTTATTTTTTTATTATTATTTATTTTTTGGTTAATCCTCACCCGAGGATATTTTTTCCATTGATTTTTATTTTTTTAAACTTTTCATTTTAATTAAATATTCAGATTAAATTTTGATTAAATAAGTTTGCACTTAACAGTTAAATATTTAGGAACAACTAATGTTCTAAATTAATAAGTTTTACTTTATTAGTTATGCAAACAATATAAATATTTAAGAGTGTTGGTTAGCCCTAACTGGCTTGGATCAGTGGATAGAGCATTGGCCTGTGGACTCAAGGGTCCCAGGTTTGATTCTGGTCAAGGGCATGTACCTTGGCTGCGGGCACATCCCCAGTGGGGAGTGTGCAGGAGGCAGCTAATTGATGTTTCTCTCTCATCGATGTTTCTAACTCTCTATCCCTCTCCCTTCCTCTCTATAAAAATCAATAAAATATATATTTTTTTAAAAAGAGTGTTGGTTAATGGTAAAAGAATGTCAATTGCCCAATAAATGTGAAAGGGGAATGAACAGGACCTTATAATTAATTGTGGATAATCTTCCCCACACACAAAATCTCCCTTGACATTAATGAGTTCATCCACTGACTTAACCGTGGTCGGCAAACCGCGGCTCGCGAACCACATGCGGCTCTTTGGCCACTTCAGTGTGGCTCTTCCACAAAATACCACGTGCGGGCACGCACGTACAGTGCAATTGAAACTTCGTGGCCCATGCACAGAAGTCGGTATTTTGTGGAAGAGCCACACTCAAGGGGCCAAAGAGCCGCATGTGGCTCGCAAGCCGCGGTTTGCCGAGGCGCAGTTTGCCGACCACTGGACTAATAGATGGGCTTTCCATTTCCTGACACCCTGGCCGACAACCCTAAAAACATTATGTTTCCACCAACGCCAGCAAAGACCCTCAGGACACAAGTCCTCGCTCCCAGCTGGGAATCCACTCTGGGGAATAAGGTAAACAGATGCCACGCAGCTGAGCCGGCCTGGCTCTAGTCCAGGGGTGGGCAAACTTTTTGACTCGAGGGCCACAATGGGTTCTTAAACTGGACCGGAGGGCCGGAACAAAAGCATGGATGGAGTGTTTGTGTGAACTAATATAAATTCAAAGTAAACATCATTACATAAAAGGGTACGGTCTTTTTTTTTTTTTTTTTAGTTTTATTCATTTCAAACGGGCCGGATCCAGCCCGTGGGCCGTAGTTTGCCCACAGCTGCCTAGTCCCTCCAGCGGTGTCCACACTGCGCATTGCAGCACTTGTAGAAGGTGGTGATGGGCTCGTCTGCAGCGCGGGTCTGAAGCTGCATGAAACAGGCACAGGGATGTTCACATCTGGGACATGGCTCTGCAGTAGAGTCCACGTTCTCCCAGGCAGCTGCTCCACCAAGCAAGTCATCCACTTCTTTCTGCTTTGGATACTTCCAATTTGTTACCTTACCAGTGATGTTGTGCACATACGGGCAGGTGTTGCAGGCAAAACAGTGGCAGGGCTGTCCCTCCTCCACAATGAGCCCATTCCCACAGCCCTGGCAAAAGAGCAGCATGAAGGCTGGCTCCCGCAGCCCCTGTGGCCCACCCCGCTCTGGCCTCCATTGATTTTTAGAAAGAGTGGAAGGGAGGGGGAGAGACCGAGAGAAACATTGATGTGGGAGAGAGACATCAATTGATTGCCTCCCGTATGCGCCCTGACTGTGGGCTGGGAATTGAACCTGCAACCAAGGTACCTGACCTTGACTGGAATTGAACCCATGACTATCATTGGTCATAGTGGGTATGGCCACTACAAGCCTGTGAAAATTTGGGAATACGTAATCCCTAAGACAAAGGAGCTTGCTGTCTTGGCTCTTGGCACTCCTGTGTCTCTCTTGTTTCTCTTTTCCTCCTATCTGGGTTGCCTCTGCAGACATATGGCCCTGCTGATCCCACACCCAATGGACTGATGGCCTGCAGCTGTGACACAAACTCACCCAGCATGATGCTGGATTGGACTGTGCTCCAACATGCAACAGAAACTGGGCAATGGCTTTACTCCTAGCCCTACTGAAGGCCTGGCTGGGCTTCTTTTTTTGGGTGGGCGTGGGACGGAGGGAAATGGGACTTGGAAACACAGGGATTTAACTCCATGCAAATAAATGTCACTCATTCTCCTGTGCAAGTCTCAGAATTTGTTTTTTTCTCGTGACATTACAAGAATACCACTCCCATCCTAACTGGTGTGGCTCAGTGGATAGAGTGTCAGCCTGCGGACTGAAGGGTCCAAGGTTTGATTCTGGTCAAGGGCACATGCCTGGGTTGCAGGCTCCATCCCCAGTAGGGGGCAGGAGGCAGCTGATCAATGATTCTCTCTCATTGTTTCTATCTCTCCCTCTCCCTTCCTCTCTCTGAAATCAATAATTATATATATATAAAGAATGCCACTCCCACCAGCAATAGGTGGGGACCTGGAGAGCTCCCCACTGCTAACACAATCTCAGAGCTTTTCCCATGCTGCTTTCTCCTGCCTCCCTAATCTATCACCAGTGGATTTCACGTAACCCCCTTATGTCTTCTTCTTTGATTCTGAAGTATAAAATAAATTGTAATACTACAGCTTCCTGGAGCATGTTTTCAATCTGTTGAGATTTTGCTTCCCAGCAATTGTCATTTTGGCTCAAGTAAACTCATAAAAATTTTCTACAGGTTTGGATGTTTCTTACATCTCCAATGACAACATTTCTACTGTGTTGCTAGAGTGAAAACTAACATCAACATAAGAAACATTTAAACCTATAGAGAATTTTTGTGAGTTTATTTGAGCTAAACTGTTGACAATTGCCTGGAATCAAAATCTCAACAGATTGAGATAATGCTCCAGAGAATGTCAGTTTTGCACCTTATTTTATACTCTAGTGGTCCGTTGCACAAAGATTCACGCAATAGGCCTTCCTTCCCCTGGCTGCTGGCATCGGTTTTCTCCGGCACCCAGGACCCAGGCCTTTGGTCCGGCCACAGCAGCGAGGCTTGGCTTCTCTGCTCTGGCTGCTCTTTTTTTTCCAGCTCCTCGAGCGGAGGCCAGGGCTGGCTGGAAGCCGGGGTCAACCCTGGTGACCCAGGCCCCCAGCCCCTCCTTGAGCAGAGTCCAGGGCCAGCGGGAAGCTTGGCTTCCTCCGTCGCCGGGAGTAACCCAAGCCTCCTGCTCGCTCCAGCTCTGTGACCACCGCCATCTTCAGTCGTCTTCAGTCTTCACTCTGCACCTGTGTATGCAAATTAACCACCATCTTTGTTGGGTTAATTTGCATAGTCGCTCTGATTGGCTGGTGGGTGTGGCTGAGTGACAGAGTGATGGTTAATTCGCATGTTTCTCTTTTATTATATAGGATTACAATCAAAAGAGAAGACCTAAGTGGGTTACCTGAAATCCTTTGGTGATATATTAGGGAGGTGGAAGAAAGCAAATTGGGGAAACCTCTGGGATTGGATGAAAAGTAACATGATAGATACATACATCTTCTACAGAGGTGGGTACAGGGTAGTTAACAGCCAACAATTAACATGATAACAACAAGGAGGGGATTGATGGTTTTCTGCCCTGGTGCATTGGTTGTGCCCTGAGAGGTCTGGAGAAAGGGGAATTACCCTGACATTCCTGAGGAATGTCATCATAAATGCAAAAGGCAATAGACAAACTTAGTTAAGGTAAAGATTGACTTTTGTCAGGGAAGATTGACTATCTGCCAGGAATTGATTTTCGTTAAAAAGTTACAATTTCAGACCATCCTTTGTGGTTACTTTAGGTCTCTGTGTTTGCATGTCCACCACACAGGCTTTCCTTAAGCTTGTCAGGTTAGCATGTGGCCACTTTTTGTCCACACCAAGGAAGTAAAATGTTTGCTTTTTGAATACATAATTCTTCCTAATTACTTAGAATTTTTGTTTTATACTCTTTTGCTGGAAGCCAATTCCAGCATGTCAGCAAGGGCTGAATCATCTGAAGTGGCAAGGGCATTTCCCCAAACCTGAAAAGGATGATTGCTTGCTGCCAGACAGCTCAGGGCATCTTAATCTAGTTGATGTTATTGCCTCCTACTGGCCAAACACCTGAACAACCATAGGCAATTCCCCATTCTAACAATGGACTCTGTATACGAAACAGGAAACCTGACCCTTTGATGTGTATATCTCTGCCTCGCCTTAGGACAAATTGTGTAAATAAAAAGCAAGGGGTCCTGAGATGAGGAGATTTCAGTTTCATTAGCTAGGCTCCTCTGACCCCCGAATGCCTTTCAAAATTATGCTTCGTCTCTGGACTCTTTATTAAGTTACACACAGTCCTTCTCCAGATTGCTGAACCCTTCTTGATGCTGGAACAAGAACCCCAGCACTCTTTGAAACAACTTTTTAGACCTACATGTAGATTTTAATCATTTCATTGTTATGTAAAGGGTGTCCCAAAATTCACGCAAGATTTGAATTTTGCGTGAGCATTAACAACAACAACAAAAAATAAAAGCCTAATTTTACTTTGTTTATTGAATCAAATTCTAATATCTGTTGCCCTTTGATTTCAATCCCTTCAATTTGATAAGCACTACCAAGTACCAATTATGGCCCAGGAGCAGAGACAATGAAGACCAATGAAGACCACGGCTTTGCATATGTGCCAGCAAAGCCATGGAGGCCATTTACCCGATGTGCTACTCCATACATAACCCTATACTGTATACTTTATGAATCAATAAAAAATTTACAATTTTTAATTATAAACCTGTGTTTTCTATCAAAATTACTTCTTGCGTGAATTTTGGGACACCCTTATATATCAAAAGTAAAATATGAATAAGTCAGTTTAATTCTTAGGGCTCCTTGAAATTTTTGTTCATTTTTTTAAAATCATTTTTCAACACAGAGTTGTCAATGCCCATATTTTGTCATAACTTTTATTTTAATAATGTACTGTTGGATCAAAAGGGGTCACATATTAAACTTGACAAGCCCAGAGAAGGCCTGCATGGTGATCTTACAAATTCGGAGACCTAAGCAATCAGATAGGTTTATGGTGGGCAGTTAGACAGACATGAGCAGAGCAAGGATCCATGTAGCGAGGTACAGAAGGTCATCAGGATGGAAAGCCCCAG